TAGTTGCCAAGGAACCCGAGTAGCATCATGAATTACAAGTTCAGCTGCTGACTGAGAGGTTGGTGGTTCAAATCCACCAGCTTCTCTGAGGAAGGAGGATTCAAAGCCTCCTCCTGTGAAGATATACAGCCTTGAAATCCAAATGGAAGGTTACCATGAGTCGGAATCAACTCAACAGTTGTGAGTTGGAGGTTAATTGCTAGGAAAGTGTGAACAGGATCCTGTAGATATATTAATTTTCTAGAAAAGCAGGCTTCTGTCTTTGCTTCTTACAACTTAGAACATTGAGGATTCCTTTTGAAGGAAATATCTGTAATATGTATAATTTTTCTTATATGGAGTCTATTGAACAAAATTCAACATTTTTCTTATGGACACAAGGTGGTATGTTAGCCCCCTGTCAAAAAGCCCTTAGAGCTTTTTGTTCTTTTTCTCTCCTCTCTTTATGGAACTGACAGTGCTCTTCCTAATTCCCTTTATTAATATGCCCATAGCAACCCTCTCCTCTGCGGGGGCGGGGGCGTCCTTCTTTGAGTCCATAAACCTAGCTCAGCTATCACTCATCTGTCCTTGGAGGCTGGTGGCAGCTATTTTATGGATTTGGTTTTAGTCGTGCTTCCAGATTAAAATGTACTAGGCAAAATCCACCTCCTAAACCATATGCCTCTGGAAACTCTATGAACTTTGATAAATGACGATAGTTATAGAAAGGCTTCAGGTCTTTTGTTCATAGGGTTGCTATGTGTCGTGTTCGACTAGACAACAGACAACACTAACAACAGGCAAAAGGCCTGGTGAACTACTTTGGGAACTCCTTGAGAAATTGCCAGGTTATTTCATGCCTTTGTTGGATTGATTTGAAACTTACTCTCCACTGAGTGGGAAGTTTACATTGAAGGTCCGTTTTCCATTTAACCATTCATACACATTTTGTTTCAAGACCTTGACTGGAGTTCCCACAAAGAAACATCACTCAGCCCATATCCTCCCTGTATTTTTCCTCTATTCTTCCTTCTTGACCTTTCTTGCCTTCTGAACTTGGCCTTGGGCATATGCTGACCTTTTGATCCCAAGTAGTTACTGTTTGGAGTCCATACCATGCTAGTGTTGTTCACCTGATAAACCTAATTGTTTGGGCTGGAAATTGAGTCATGGAGGTGAGTTCAGTTCAGGTCTGAAGGTGACTAACGGCCATTCTCTCTGAGGCTCCTTTAGTCTCTAGCCAGTAAAATGGCTTTGGATTTTTTTAAATGGTTTTGAGTTTTCTTCTGTATCTTCTTCCCACACTATCCAGGAGCTTCTAACGTAATCTCTCTTGGAGTGGTTGGTAGATCCAGGATGCCCTGACTGGCGGAGGCCGGGGATGAGCTCTGTAGATTGTTCAGCATCACTCACATGACCCACCGTCTGTCTTATCTCCTTTCACTTCCAGCTCATCTCAGTCCACTTTGCTAAGTTACAATACCTAAGTTTCAGGTTCATTTGTTTACACCAAATGTTATTTTCGGGTCTGTGCCTCCTGCTTTAGACTTTTAGACTCTGGCCCTGCACATTTGAGGGACCCTCAAGTCACATCACTTGCCATGCTTACTCTGGGAATGCAGTTGTCTTCAAATGGCTTTTTAAGTTTCTTTTTCCTTATTCGTTTAGTTAAAAAGAGGCAGCCGTTCCTGGCTGGAGCAGTCTGCTTTCCCACGTTTCCCTCAGCAGCCCAAGTCTCTCACTGGGTACAGTTACTCTGTGGCTTGCGGCCTCTCAGACCACAGAGACTTTTTACCACCAGCACCACCTGCTGCTGACTCCCCAAGGCCTCACTCCCTTCCCACCTGGCCTCCTCGCTGCCCTCCAGTTGACACAGTTTAGTTTGCTGCAGGCCAAGAACAGGGAGGGGCTGCCCCGGTGTAGGGTGCTGGGTGATCTGGAAATAGCCTTAGGGGAGGAGCTCAGCTCTGAAGCAGCTTCAGAAGGTGTTCATCTGCATTTATAATGCCTGGTGCAGGCAGACAAAAGGGGCATTGCTATGGGTCCCAGAAAGGCTCACCTACCAGCACATTCACCCTTTAGGTTGGAGGTGTTCTCCTCTGGGGCTGTAGGACTATCCTGATATAACTTTCATCCCCATTGCCTCGAAGGCAGTGAGCCACTCACAATGGCCATAGCTGGCGCCTTATGCTCCCCAACTCAGCACCAGCCATTTGTGCAAGGGGTGGGTATTGGGACAATAAAGGGGGAGGCTCTAGTAGTTGGAGGTGGAGCTAAGAAGAGGCCTGGTACACCCTGTTTTGTTCTGGGAGCACGTGGCTGGTTACCTACCCCTGGGTAGGCTGGCTCTCCCGTGTTAGCCCCATATAAACCCTGACGATGACAGGGACAAGCTGGCTGCATTACCTTTGAGAGTGACAGGTTCGTGCCTCTCTGCTACCCTGCAGACAGCTCCTCCCTAGGGAGCTCAGGTGGCCTAGTGGCAAGAAGCTGCACTGCAATCTCAGAGGCAAGCGATTTGAATCCACCAGATGCTCTGCTGGAAGAGGGGCTATCTCCTGTGCCAGTCAGATCTGATTTGACAGTACAGACACAAAAAAATAATTAGAAAAACAAAAACCCCATTCGGCTCCTACCTGCCTGCTCTCTGCTCATCAGTCCTGTAAGGATCCCCTCTGCTCCTGCAGGTCTAACTTGTGAAGTACTGTACCCATCTGTTGTTGTGTTGTTGAGTCAGAACCGACCCAAAGCTGACCCTTCAGTGGGTTTTCGGAGGCAGTAAATCCCATTACTGCTTTAATAAAGGAGGGGGAGGTTCAAAAGTGAGCAAGTGTGCTTCTAAAAGCAGCCAGACAGGTCTTAAGCAGACCCCGGGCTCCCTGGGGCACCAGATCCTGGCGCGTGTCCCCTCCAGCTTTGGTAAGGAGAGGCAGAATTTGACTGGGTTGTTACATCATCACGCAGAGGTCCAAGTTCAACAGCCCCAAGTGATACCACTGGGCCTTCAGATGATAAGAAAGGCGCAGTGATGACGACTCACTAAGCCGGGTCGGCTTGAGCTTACTGGCTGTTACTAATCAATAGTGAACAATTTCACAGGCAAAATGTCACAAGATTACTCAGGATAAAAAAAGCTGTCCTCACTTTGCTTACGTACTCTGTCACAGTCAAAGAGTCTAAGAGGTTCTATTTCTGTAGAACGGTGCTATCACACTGGTAAGACCAGTGCCAGCCATACCTGGAAGTGTTAACTAGTTTAGCACAAATAAGCCTGTGCTTACCTTGCCTACTGTAATCCCACACAGGCAGAAGGCAGCACAAGCTGACCCTAACCCAGAAGATGGGGAAGCTCTCGTGTTCCCGAGACCAGCAGAGGCTGGTCAGCCCCCTCCCATGCTGACCCTGCTCTGTCTGCACAGGGGTTCAAGGTCCCCACATCTTCTGACAGCCATGGCTCCCAGGATCGGGATGATCCCACACGGGCCTCATAAAGTTTCACAGAAGGAAGGGTAGTGCAGTGGTTAGGAACTTCCAGTCAATCCAAGCTTGAGCAAGCTCTGACATTTACTGAGGAAATGACTTATTAAAATAGTCACTCTTGTTTTCATTTTAGAAAATGAGGTCATTTTACTACTAGGGAGCCCAAGTGGCTTAGTGGTAAGGAATAGTGCTGCTAATGCAAAGGCATGAGGTTCAAATCCCCCAGATGCTCTGCAGGAGGCTAGGCAACTTCCTCCCATCCAATTAACTGCCTCTGAAAGGGTCAGCTATGCGTCAGCTCCGACTCGATGGTACACACCTCCACTCTACAGTGCTCTCATGAGGGTTAAACGAAGTCATGAAGGGGAAGTACTTCTCAGGTATTAGCTGTCCCTACTGTAATCTATTCACTGATCCTCAAGGGAAAGACAGGCAATCTCCAATGCAGTGTACAGCCTTGGAAAGCCCTCTGGCAGGTCAGATAGGAGTGGTTCCAGTTCACCGGCAAACACCACCTGTAACCCTCACTTCTGGAGGACAGAAGAGCCTAACAGAGAGAGCCCTTACATCCTGCCACAGTTGAAGGGCGACCAGCTTTGCCAATATTATGAAGACTTGGGTCTCTGCGTACTTACTAAAGGGAGCTCTAGTGTAGTCCGTAGTGGTATGCTGTTAACCCAGGGCCGGGCGATGCTTCTCTGGCAGTATCAAACCACTAGCTGTTCTCAGGAGAAAGATGGGTGGGCTCCTTCCATGAAGCCTCGGAAACTTTCTAGAGGCTCTGCTACGAGTCAGAACTGAGCTGACAGCAGTGAACACCTCCTGCTAAACCAAAAAACTCCACTGCTGTCAATTCCAACTCATAATGACCCTACTGGGCAGCGCAGACCTGCTCCTCAGATTGCCAAGGCTCTTCTCTCCCTCTGGAGTGGCTCATATAGGTCTGAACCATTAACCTTTTGGTTAGCAGCTAAATACTTAACCACTGAGCCACCAAAAGCTTTCATGAATTTATTACTTCTCTGCAAAGATTCACCGAAGTGGAAGGGCTCTAGTCCCTTAAATACCAAGATATCTGCTGTGAAGGGAATTAAGATCAATTAGCTGTGGGCCCCAGCTAGGCCCTGCTTACAGGCCAGGCTTTTGATGTGGTCTCCTGACTCGATTTTCTTAGGTACAGTGACTTTCTGGCACTGCCCTGATTGCAAGAAAATGAACATGCTTACCCAGAGCCAAGCGGTAGAAAGGAGTGGTAGCCTCAGGCCTGCTGAAGATCAAAAGGGTAATACAGTGTGGGAACATGAAACTGGTGGAATGCTCACCTGGTGCTGGAGCGATACAGGAGTTTGGGCAGGACTCTGTGTATTAGACAGCGGCCTACCTGTCATGTGTTTAGGGAATTCTTAGGTGGGTCAGACTCACACACCAGGCAGAGAAGAAGTGAGGGGAGGCGCTGGTGCAGAGCTGAAGATGCTAGAAGTGGGCAGGCATCATGCTTCCTCAGTCCTCAAAGCCTCCAGTAAAACCTCCAGTGACTCGATTTATAGCTATGCTTTATTAAATTGTATCCAAAAGGAAAAGGAAATGTGTCTCCAGGCCAACAGAATGAGTGTATATGTGTGAGATCCCTGATCTGTGCTCTGAGGGTCCAGTCAGTCAGGTGGGGCCAGGGCAGGCCAACCTGTAAGGCAGAAGAGGGTCCCTGTCCGGGGGACTCACTGCTCCTGGGTGCCCCAGGAGATATAGTCTGGCCGTGTGGCCGCGTGGTACTCATCAATGAGCTCCTGCACGACCTCCCTGGATGTGTCCAGCTCATCAAAGTTCTCCTTGAAGATGTCCTCCTTGCGGAACTGCTCCAGGAAGGCCTCACGCTTCCGCAGCTTGTCATACTGACGACAGGTCCGCTCAAAGAGCTTGGGGCGTGCAGAAAGCAGGGGTCATAAGAACTTCATCAATAACACAGACCAGAGGGCCAGTGAGCGGTGGCTAGACTATCACTGTAGCCAGAAGCCAGCAGCAGGAACGGGGCAGATAAAGCTCAACTAAGGAACTGACTAGAGGGCTAGGAAGGTACAAACTGTGAGACTCACCGACGAAATGCTGGTGTGGTTGGCCATCATGAGCCCGCTGACCCGGTGAGCTGAGGGCAGGTAGGGAGACTTCCTGGACAGGGCCACCTGGATGCTGGCCGGGCCCCAGGGGATGAAGTTGGCCAGCTTGCGTTCCCGGATCCTCTGCAGGCTCTTGTGGACCTGGGGTGGGCACAGGAGAGCTTGGTGATAGCCTCTTCTCCTCTGCCCTGCTGGTTCAGGGGGCAGAATGAAGGGCCTCCCCTACCTGGGTGGGGTCCACCTCTCCCTGGATGATGTTGAGGATGGCAATGTAGCAGTGGTTGGTCTGGCGATCCCGACCTGTGGACACCATCACGTTCTTGGGCTGCAGTAGCCGCCTCATGACATCCAGGACGGTGGTCTTCCTCACGCTGGCCACCTAAGGGGAGAGTGGGGAACAAGGACCAAGCTGGTACTTAAGTTACAGTCCAGACAAACCCAGAGAAGGAGAGAACAATAGTTAACACACATTCCCTGAGACGCCAGTGGTGTAGTCCCACTAGGGAGTGTTTAGATCCAGGCCTACACTGAGCCTCTGCTGTAGGATCAGGAACCTTAGCCCTCCTCAGCTCAGCCCAGATGATCTTCCCATTTTCTGAAGTCTTAAGTAAACCCGTTGATCCCCACCCTGCAGGGAACCAAAGGCAGAGGGAAGATGGAGAACCAGGTAGCAAGAAAGTCACATGTTCTGGACCAGACCCTGAGTGCAGAGCCTCTGGGAGCTGCAGAAGGCAGTGGGAAAAGAGAAAGGCCAGGTCAGGACCTGCTGGGCCCAGGGCAGCCTGACCCGGACACCGAGGGCTGCTCTTACCGACTGGTCCGTGGTAAGGGGGGTGTAGCCCGTCATGAGGAAGTGGAGCCGTGGTGTGGGGATGAGTGAGGCGATGAGGCCAATGAGGTCATTGTTCATGTAGCCGGGATAGCGCAGGGTGGTGGTGCTGGCTGACATGATGGTGGACACCTGGGGACAGGAGTGCCATGTCATGGGCCTCGGCGGGGACGGGCCATCCCGTTCCAGAGGGCCTTTCAGCAGTGAGGGTCCCAGCTCAGAGGGGTCAAGGAGGTGGGGGCTCACCAGCTGGTTGATCTGAGAGAAGGATGGGTTCTGGATGTGCAGGCGGTCTGTGGCGATCCGGTTCAGGGCTGTGTTGTCCAGCACCACCTGGGCAAAGGTATCAGATTTATGATAGGAAGGAAAAGTAATTCTGCTGAGCTTGGGCTCTGAAGCTTAACTTTACATGAGCCAGAAGGTTTCCTAAGAAAAGAAACTACACAGGTTGGCTTTTAATGAACCTTTTAAAATTCACGAAGATGATGAACTAGATGGGAGCGGGATGGGGTGGGAGTGGGAAGGAGAATGGACCTAGGATTACCACACAGTCTGCGTTCTGTGTCAGCCTCTTGAGCGTGAGCAGCGAGTTGTAGGGCTGCACCACCACGTCGCTCATCTCGTCCTGATTGGGAAACACAGAGTACGTCTGCACCAGCTTCTTGGGGTACCTGGTCAAGTTGGGAGGTCAACCTTGGTAAGCTCTGGCTCATCAATGACTGTATGGAAGCAGCTAAATCTGAATGGGGATGCTGGGAGGGGATAATGGCACAAGTAGAAAAAGGAGACTTAATCTTTGGGAGTCTGGAACCCCAAAGAAGGAAAGGGAGAGACACCTTAAGAGGGATGATTCAAAACCTGGCCACAATCCTTGGCTTTTCACTGAGGACCCAGAATCTAGGGTCTGGCTCCAGCCACTAAGTGTGACCATGTCTTGTCACTGTGCCTTCACTTTACTCACTACAGGAACCAGGAGAAGAGCCCTTTCCTGACAGGAGCGCCTCACCCCCCCTCTTGCACCCGCCCATCATTCAGGAAACCAGACTGAAGGTCCTGCTGCACTGGAGCCCCTCAGAGACTCACCTGTCATTGAGTCGTTCTAAGAGGTAAGAGCCCAAGCCAGAGCCTGTCCCCCCAGCGATGGAGTGACATAACACGAAACCCTGCATGGGAAAGGGGCAATCAACGTACAGGTATCAAACTTAGGGTGTACTGCACTGCACAACTCTTGGACATCTATCCTTCCTTCCTCCTTACCTCACCCCATAAAGTTTAGGATTAGACTCTGGACATTGTCCAGAAAGGCCCAGTACCTTCTAACCAAAAGCTTCTACATATCTAAGGATACATGAGTGGGCCCTTGCTGTTTAAGGTGGTTTCTCAAGGTTTCCCAGGCTTCCCTACGTCAGCTCCCACCACTGTGTCTGGGACACTCACCTCCAGACTGTCGCTGCCGTCTGCTTCCCGGTCTATGATGTCAAAAATGTCCTCATGGATCTTTTCTCCCTGTACACACATGAGGACAGTCAGAGTAAGAAGGACCAAGGGATAAGGGGAGCTGTTTCCAGAATGACCACCTTTGATTCATCATATAACTCACAAAATTCTTTGCATAAAGAGACTGTCCAGCAGAATGGTTACAAGCAGGCATTCTTCATCCAAGACCACCCACGTTCACATATTGGCTATATTTCTGTTTTGTAAGTTATCTTGTTATTGAGTCAACACAGTAGAAAATACAGGATTAAACCACTGCAACCCTCTTTTCCTTAATTGTTCCTTCTCTATTTATATAACCTCACTACTGTCTAAATTTTCTAACTTTCCAAGTTGTTACTGTCAACTTAATTTTCATAGATCTTATTCAAAGACAATGCTCAAGGCAAATAGTCTTTACTAGCTAAATTACTGTTTGGTTTTAAGGCCACTTCAGGAGAAAATTTTAGCTTAAGGTCATATCAGGGCAATAGCTTCAAGGGCTTTGTTTCCATTTAATTAATGACTATGAGCAAGTACTTACTTGCTCAATGCCTGTTTTCTCATCTGTAAGATAAAGCTAATATTAAAGAGCCATAGTATCTTATCCAAGATTTTGAGTTCTAGTTTTGATATTCAGAGTAGTCCAGATTTTAGAACAAGTAACATAGTGTATATCATGTATTTTAAATAACATTCCTGATTAGGGAGTGTCTCAGGTGTATTAATCAAATACACGAACATTTCTCAGATGAACCATATTAAGTATTGTGGGCTCTGCTAAACCCATTATTACTGAGTCCACTCCAGAGTAATAGAGATCCTATATGACAGAGTAGAATCGCTCCAGTTCCCAAAGCTTGGCTTTTTTAGAGAAGTTCACTGCCACAACTTTATCCACACAGCTGCAGGGGGCTCGAACCACCAACTTCTCAGTTATCAGCTTAGTGCTTAATTACTGCACCACCAGGATTCCCAGGGAATTGACAAATGACCTGCGAGAATCCGCTGGCCCAGTTGTTGCCAGCTCCTCCTCCGTGCTCTGACAGGTAGATGTTCTCCGGGTTGTAGAGCTTGGCATACGGGGAGTTGAGGATGGAGTGGATCACCCGGGGCTCCAGGTCCAGCAGCACCGCCCGGGGGATGTAGTGTTCATCGTCTGCCTGTCAACGGGAGGCGAGGACCGGCCTAATTACTGGACCCTTCCTGCCAGCCCTCCCTCCCCCAAGTCAGCAGCCCTGGCCTCTCTGCCCAGCGGGTTTCCCAGGACCAGGCCGCTGCCCCTCCTTTCAGGGTTCCTGGGCCACCGCTGGCCCTGGCCAAGTCACTGGGGCACCTGATAGAAAAAGACGTCCTTGCGGTCAGTGCCTTCGGTGGCGAACTCCTCCACGATGCCCTCGGGGCTGATACCATGCTCTGCGCACAGCTGTTTCCAGAACTCGAACCCAACTAGGGGTGGGGCCGAGAAGAAGCTATTTGAGCCTGGAGCTAGGGGCCTATGTCCCAGCTAAGAAGTCAAGCCTCAGAACTTGCCCGTGTTTGAGAAAAGAGGCAGAGAGATGTATACCAGCGACGGAGAGGGGGATGGGCCACCGGCCAGGGAGGTCCCGCCCTTTGGAGAACTACGAACTGGGGAGGGCCGATGGACGGGGGAGTCCCACCGCGGGACCCCAATGACTCCTAGGCTAATGTAGGGTCTGGAGGTTCGCTCACTCTGATTGCCGCACTGGCCCAACTGTAGGGTGATGATTTCCCTCGGCATAGCTCTGCAGATGCCGGCCCTGAAGCCGCTTGCAGACAGGAAAACGCCGCGCCAGACTCCCAAAAAGGCGCGCGCAACACCAAAAGCGGCGCAGAACGCACTGAAAGAGGCCTCCGCCAATGTGGCGCAGGCGCACTGGAGCCGCCCGCCTGCCCAGCTCGCCGCAAGGCGCAGGCGCCAAACATGCCCCGCCCCACGAGCTCTTTCAAGTAGGTCTTGCAACCAGTTAAACAATATGCAACAGTGAATGAATGGAACGCCAAGTTGTCTGTACACTTCCATTAAAATATTAATTAAAAAAATCCAGTAATTGGAAAACCTAGCAGCAGTGAAGAAACTAAAAGACGTGTTGTGTTGGGGAAGTTTGCTGTCTAGGATTTCTCCAAAGTTCTAAAGAGCAAGGATGTCACTTTAAAGACTAAGATGTGCCTAATCCAAGCCATGGTCACTCTCTTTTTTTTTTAACTTTTTAAAAAAATTTTATTTTATTTTATTATTATTTTTTTTTGGTGTGTGTGTGTACCGTCAAATCAGATCTGACTGGTACAGGAGGAGATCGTCCCTCCTTCTCCAGTAGGGCAGTTGTTGGATTCCAACCGCGCACCTCTGGGATTGCAGTGCACCTTCTTGCCACTAGGCCACCAGAGGTCCCTAAGCCTTGGTCTTTTTAATTACTCCCTATGCATTTGAAAATTGGACAATGAGTAAGAAAGACTCCAGAAGAATAGATGCTCCCCCCAAAAAAAATAAAAAAAAGAAGAAGAGATGCCTTCGAATTATGGTACTGGCAAAGAGTATTGGCTATACCATGCACTTCCAAGAAACAAATCTGTTTTGAAGGATGTCCAATCAGAGGCATCCTTCCTTAGAGGCAGGGATGGTAAAACGTCTTCTCACTTACTTTGGACATATATTCAGGAGGAACAAGTCCTTGGAAAGAGACATCATTCTTGCAAGTGTAGGAGGTCAGCGAAAGAGAGGAAGACCATCAACAACATGGATGAACTCAGTGACTACCACAGTGGGCTTGAACATGACCGAGATCATGAAGATGGTGCAGGATAAGGCAAGGGTACAAATCTTTTGTTCATAGGATTGCTATAAATCATAGTCAAATCCAGCTTTTATGACAACAATAAATTAAAATTATTAAAAATTATTTCAGGAAAACAATCTCCTATATCCTGTTGTTGCATACTGTCAAATTTAGACTGACTCACAGCTGAATCCGGTGGGTTTTCTGAGCTGCATGAGAAAAGACTGCTCATCTTTTCTCCAGTGGAGCAGCTGGTGGTTCAAACTGCATGCTTTTGGGCTAATAGCACGATTTCTTACAACTAAGCCACCAGAGCTCCCATATAAGGCTCCTAAAATTTTTAGAAGAATTGTTAGAGAACAAGCTTATTGGCAAAATACATTCAAAGCAGTTTTCTGGCTTACTCCTTTTCTGATTTAAAATACAACGGGCAATACATTCAGTTTTCCTTAAAGACTACTACTAAACTCTTTTGAACTGACTGGAAGCGCTAGTTCCACGTGGGAACTGAGATCTAGAAATGGTTTTTCATTATTCATCTGACATTCAGTAATGAGGATTGTGTGCAGCTCTGGTGGCTCAGTCGTTAAGTTCTCACTGTTAACAAAAAGGAAATCAGATTGAACTCGCTAGGTATTCCATGGGAGAAAGATGTAGCAGTCTGCTTCTGTAAAGATTGTAGCCTTGTAATCACAATATCAACAATATGCAAATTGCAAAGTGTGTAAAGTGTGAGTCTTCTTCAGTTGTCATTTATAGCATAGCAGACCATAAAATTGTCTGACTCACAATGGCAAATACCAGTTCATTTCAGTTCATTAATGCCCAGGAAATCTATCTTTATGTCTTCTATTTAATTTTTGACAACTTTCAATTTTCCTAGATTCAAACTTAGTATGCTTCACATTTCAGTTATTAATAAATGTTTGCAGTTGTCTCTTTTCAGTTTGAGTTATGCCACATCAGCAAATGCGGGTCCTGAAACCTTTACTTCATCCAGTTCGTTAAGGTTGATTTTATTTTGAAAAGGCAATTCTTTCTCAGAATATTTTTCTTATCTTCCAATCTAAGAGGTTCTATTCAGACAATGATCTGCTATTTTAAAAAACAACAAAACTAAACCTGCCAAATCACACAGAAGGAAATTTCCCATGTTTTCCCCATGGAGATGCTGGTGGATTTGAACAGCTAGACGTGCTACCTTCGGGTTAGCAACTTACTATTAACTCAGCCAACAGAGATCCCTAAATTCTGCTAGTAATAGTAAGGTTTTTCACTGGACTGTCTTTTTGGTAGTAAATTGTCAGTTCTTTTTTCCCAGTCTGTTTTAGTCTTGAAGCACTGCTGAATCCTGTCTACTTGTGACTTTGCAAGGATTTGAAATACCAGTGGCATAGTTTCCAACATCACAGCAATATGCAAGCCACCACAGAACAGCAAACTGATGGATGAGTAGTGGAAAATATGGTCATGGTAATAAAGAAGATACCTGGGATCATATGATCCCAGAATTTTGCAATATCAAAGAACTGTTGCTGATGTCATATAGATCATGGCTAAAAACAAAAAAAATTAAAAGATGTTTCCTATGTTTTATTGACTATGTAAAATCATTTGATCATGCATAGTACAATGACTGGTAGATAACATTATTATGTAGGCCAAGATGCAGTCTAGATTGAGAGGCATTCAAACTGAACAAAGGGATTTTGTGTGTTTGAAATCAGAAAACGTGTGTGTCAGAGTTATATCCTTTCACCATGTATTTATTCAATCTATATGCAAAGCAAACAATGCAAGAAGTTGAAATATATGAAGAGAACTTGGCATCAGTGCTGATACCGTGCAGATAACATAACCTTCACTTAATGAAATCGAAGACTTGAAGCATGTATAGATAGTCTTCAGTATGGATTCTATATTAACCTAGAGAGAGGATGAGAGACACACAAGTGTTGAGGACTCTCCTTCATAGGGTCGCTATGAGTCGCCTTTGACTCCACGGCACTTAACAACAATAACATCAACATAGAGAGTGGTCAGCTGGCCCAGTGGACTGAAAGCAATGCAGCCAAGCCAAAGGTGGGTGACTTTAAGTCCGCGGCCCTCGGACTTGTCTTTCATTGTTTTTGTTCAAACATTCCTCTAGGTCGTATAACCCTGGTATGTCCACTTGCCATACAGTGGTAACTTCTGGTTGCTGTGAGGCTGAACACTGTGACACTGATGTGTCAAATGCATTAATGGTTGGTTACCCAATGTGGACAGTGTTGGGTGAAAATACCCTATTAAAACAAACTTGGAAGCACAAGTGGCATCCGCTTCCATAATAGCTTGCCTCCAGAAACCCTATGAACCTGGAGAGAGGATGAGAGACACACAATTGTTGAGGACTCTCCTTCATAGGGTTGCTATGAGTCGCCTGCGACTCACTGGCATTTAACAACACCACCAACATGGAATATATCTCAACATAAAGAAAATAAACATCTTCACAACTGGACCACAAAGCAACATCTTGATAAACGGAAGAAGAGTGAAGTTATTAGGATTTTTTTTAAACTTAGATTCGCAATCAGTGCCTACCAAATGGCTTATTGCATTGGGCAAATCTGCTGCAAAAGTGTTGAAAAGCAATGATATAATTTTGAGGACTAAGGTGTACATGACCAAATCCTTGATATTTTCAGTTGCCTCATATACCTCTAAAAGCTGCACAGTGAACTGTTGTTGTTGTCAGGTGCTGTGAGTTAACTACCCTATGTACAACAGAGCAAAACCTTGCCTACTATCTCAATGGTGCTTATGATCATTGTTGATATCCCACGTCCCCATTATCAATGGATGTTTGCAGCCGTTTCTCTTCATTTTGTGTCATGCCACATCAGTAAATAAAAGTCTTTTACTGGGTAGAAGTTTTATTCCATTCATAGATTTATGGTAGGCTTTTCTGGTGGCCTTATGGTAACAAAGAAGCTGTGCAATTCTAAAGGCATGTGGTTCTGATTCACCACCTGCTTAGTCAGAGCCGGATGGGCAATGTCCTGAAAACCCGCTGGAGAGTGAACTTTGGGAAGTTCCCACTCAAAGGCACACAACAACTACTTTGAGGAGGCAGCTCTTCTCTAATCATATTCCAACCTGAATGGCTCATCTTTGGCACGCTCTTGGAGAAAATGCTTCACTACTATTCGTTTATAAGGTTTTTGAGGGCCCATCATTTCAGAAGTACGTGGCTAAACTTGCATGTAAGTCGGAGTTTGAAAGCTCCGGTCCGCTAGAATCTGTCCACCATGAGTGACCCGCCTGGTATTTGAAATACTAGTAGCATAGTTTCCAGCATCACAACACACAAGCCCACCACAGTACTGGCAAATTGATAAACACACAGTGATGAACAAAGTTTGAATGGGGAAGTTATGCTATTGGCAAATAATATTGAACACACTATGGTCTTCGAGAAGAATGAACATATCTATCTTGGAAAATATCCAAACAGAAAATTCCCTAAAATAGAAGAAGTCATTGAGATTTCGTTTTTGAGTACTTTGGTTATGTTATCAAGAGGGAATATAGTCCTTGTAGAAGGACATCACATTGGTGGAAGGTGATAGAAAACCAGGAAGATAGATTGGCATGGTAGCTGCAACAATGAGCTCAAATATAACAAAGATTGAGAGGATGGCCCAGTACTGAAGAGTCTTGCATCATGTGGTACATAATAAGGAGCCTGGCTGCAAGTGGGAACAAAATTCCCCTGTCAGCTAACAACAAGGCAGACTGCGCGTGCGCCGCTCCGGCCCCGCTCAGAATGCTGGGGGCGTAACCCAAGCCGGTGTTGATTTCGGCGCACGCGCGTTGTGGAAGGAAGCGGCCTCCTTCGCCCTATCTTGCATCTGCGTAGTTGGTGTTATTGTGATTCCAGGGCCACGGCCCCGGATGTTGTGGTGGCCCAGGGGGAGATGGCGGAACCTGAGGGGGTGGCCGCGGCCCCTGGCCCAGCTTCTGGGTCCGCTTTGAGGGGCCGCCGTGCCCCGCCAGGCTCCGGGGAGCGGGATCAGCAGGTTGAGGCGGCGCAGCGGGCCCTGGTGGAGGTGCTGGGGCCCTACGAGCCTCTACTGAGCCGGCTGCAGGCAGCCCTGGTGTGGGAGCGGCCAGCTAGGAGCGCCCTGTGGTGCCTGGGGCTGAACGCGGCTTTCTGGTGAGAGTTGTGGACCCTCGGAAGCCCTCCGGGTCGCGAGTTCATCAGGTTTCTCTGGGGCTCTTATCTCTCACCTCCCCTTGTTTTCAGCTGCACTGGCTCCTCTCTCTATATTTGCCTAGTTTTAGCCTCATCTTCTTCCACCCTAGCTGGACCCCAGCCATCGGTCCCCCAAGTCTCCCTGGGGCCTTCCAGCTGCTCCCCCTCTTGAGCACATCTGGCGGGTGCGCCTCTTTTATCGAGGGAAAGATGTGTCCCTGGAAGACCATCCTCGCCTCCCTTCTCCAGAAGTGTAGAAAAGGGCTCCGTAGGCGGGATGAGAACGCAGACGTGAGCGATCTGATTCCTATGTTTAGGGATCCTCTTCGCCCAGCCTAGGAAGTTTGTAAAATCTGTGTCACTGAGCGCCTCCAAAGCTGTAAGTGGAAAGAAAATGATACTCTTTGGACGAATAATGATGAAGTAGTTGATTGTGAGAGTTCACCCGTTTCAGAGCCGTTGAAGATGGCAGCTCCTCCCTGCTCCGAGGACTTAGGACATCCTTAGCCTCGCTTTGCAAGCTAGGACATTGAGGCTGTCTGATAGTGTGTCTAATAGCTTCTCCCGACCTGGGCGAGTGGCATTGTGAATATGTTAGAACAAGCCGTCGGTGTCATGTCCTGTAAAAATGGAACTGCCTTTGGTCTCACTTGTTCGTCATCACTTAGGTCTGCCTTGCATCTGTCAAACAGTTCACAGCAGAGGAATTATTGTTGATCAAATTGAAAACAGCACACTGATTGTTGGGGCTTTGACAGCTTAATGAAATGAGGCGATCTTGGATGATCTTGAAGACAGAGTAAAGCCTCTCTTCTTTAGGTTTTGGCTAAAAATAGCTTTTCTCATCAAATTAATTGGTTTTAGAACCAAAACAGTTGCTACCCTTCAGCTGAAAAGATTTTTCAGTGATACAGATATTAAATAAATAAATGTCCATTCCTTGACAAGACATTTCACACTAGCTTAATCCTCTTTGTTTTAGGGAGACTCAGGTTAGAGGTGTCACAGAAGCCTCTGACAGTTGCTTTCAGAGTTTTTAGCAAATCTGATGGGGGAAAAAACCTCTGCCAACTGCATTTTCCTCGTTTTTTTGTGTGTTGGAGATTCTTCTTGCGGACCAGGTATCTGGTTCCGTTCTGTTGGTCTAGGTCAAAACCCTTTCACTGTAGCACTTCATCCAGGAGCATTTTCCAAATGGCCTTTGCCTCCTTTTCTCCCAGGTGCCATTACAAGCCCCAACCCCAACTGGTCTAGTCAAAATTCTTTCCCACCGTGGATCTGGTACACCTATGGAGATGGCAAGATGAACCTCATTAGACACATTGTATTAAGGAATGGAAGGCTAGTGTATGAAAACTATCACAACTTAAATAAATTTAAAACCAAGGATTTAATAATACAGGTAAATTAGTAACATCATTTTTGAGGCAGAGACTTTACAGGTACCTGTTGCTTGTACCAGTTTCTGGAGGGGGATGTAGAGTCCAGGTCTGTATGGAACTCCTATGCCTGGTAAACCTCTTAAAGAGTTCCAGTTAGCTTTAATTTGTTGATCTCAGACAGTGTTTGTTTACATTTACTACTAGGCTATGTTTAGAATCTCAGAAACCCCTTTTGTATCCTGGTTCTAAAAAGCATTGTTGTGATCTCTGGCATTTCCTACTGGCTTTGCCTCCTAAGAGTACACTTGATTTTTGTTAGAGTCTCATCAGACTCTTAAGTAGGTGGGAAGAGAGAAAGAAAAATGAGGGTATAACACTTGACACTGACCAGTTGGGTATGCTATGGGAAGAACTCATTTATGGAGAGAACTCATACCTGAGAACTGTAAAAATGGTTGTAAGGCTTCACAGTCAGTCTAGAGTAGTGTCTGGCATTGGCATTCACAGAATTGTGTTCTTTTTGGGGAAAGTTCCTTGGAAGGTAGTTTGAGATTTAAAAGAAAAGTCAGACTTCATGTTTCAGCCGTGTCATATTGAATGAATATAAATGTTAACATGTCACGTAGGAATGTTGAAGAGTGACTAGTTCTTAGGCTTAAATGCTTAGGAAAGAGGAAGAGTATTAACTGAGGTCAGAAATAAAATCAGTAATGTTTCATTCATTTTGAATATCGGTACATTACTAACAGATATTTTATAAATTTTGACATTAGAAGGCTAGAAAGGAAGACAAAAAATAAGAATTCAGGTAATTAACCTATACTTGGAAATGTTTACATATTAAAAAAAAATTCTGAAAGATGGACATAGACTGACTAGAAATCCTGGTAGACATATCAGAAATCTTCCAGCCTCAATTGCTTATGGTCCCTGAACTGTAGTTTTTGAGGGTAATAACAGAAATGTTGGGTGTTCCCTTCTAAGAGTTCATATTTTTATTTTGAATCGCCATCTCACATACTTTGGGCATGTGGCCAGGACATCATTCTTGGAAGGGTGGAGGGACAGCACAGGAGAGGAAGACCCTGGATGAGATGGATTGACAACAGTAACTAGGGTAATGGGAGTAGGTGTGTCGAAGTCAGTGAGACTGGCTTAGGACAGGGCAGGCTTCAGAGTTTTGTACATAGGATTGTTACGAATTGTAGGCAACTCAACAGCCCCTAACAACAACAAGCTCCATCTGTAAATGAATGATTTGGGAGAAGACCATCTAGGTCAGTATGGTGTATCCTGGCAAGGTTGGAAAGAACAGGTTCTACTAACTCTGGTTTGTCTCAGTGCAGAAGACGAGGAGGATGAAGGAACTCTGAAAATGTGTGTGAATTCCAAGTCCACATCCTTCCTTGAAGGGTATACTCTTCTAATAATTCTTTTCCAGTATTTACATTTCTTGATTCCAGATGACCTTTGAATTGAGAGTATTGATTTAAAGCAGTTAGCAAGCTGATCCTCTATTTAGATTTGTGTTGGGGCCCGCTTTTACCATTACCATTTTGAGTTAACCAAACGATAATTTTAAGTCTGGTGGCTTACTGGGTAAGGAGTTACACTGCCAACCCAAAGGCAAGCAATAGGCAATTCTAATCCACCAGCTGATCCACAAGGGAAAAATGGATAGTCTCTTTCCATGCAGTTTGCAGCCTCTGAAAACCGTTTGGAGGGTCAGCTATGAGTCAGTTCCAATTCCATATCAATGAATTGATTGTCAGATCATACACAGTATTTCTCTTCCTCACCAAAAGACAAAAACCAGAGAATGGGTTAAAGATCCATAGCAATTCTCATTGAGAAAGTTAGACTTTGTGTGAAAAACTATAGTGAGGAATGGATAATAGAACAGAGAGCTAAATAAAGAGGCATTTCTTTTTATTTTTAAAAAATGTACATATCAGGCTGGTCTGATGGTAGTGGGTTATCAGACACTATTAACATTAGTGCAACTAAAGTTGGTACAACAACCGCCCACTGCTGAATTTGACTGGCTTAAAAAAAAAGAAAAAATGTACACATCAAATTTGAGGATTCAATCTATTCTTGTTTTTGGTAGCCAGGAAGACTCCCAGGGATCCCTTGATTGACTTTGCCTCCTTTAAAGTTTTTTTTCTGTTCTAATTTTAAGACTGGGTGCTCTCTCAAGTTCTCATGGTTGACTATTAGCAACTTGCTGGTTTTGTGCAAGCAGTAACTTTCACAACATGATACAGGTTGGGTTAATTGTATTCTTCTAATTTACCAGTGATTGGCTCATAATCACACAACCATAAGTGCTGTATAATAATGGGTTTTCTGTCCCTATGGGACAAAATGCTCTGTCTGAAGTGCCTCTGAGATAGTGACAAAGAAATAATGTCTTCTTTGATTATAAATAGACACGTGGTCATTACTGTAGTGATGGACTTTGACTTATGTGTACCAGTAGTGTGGAGCCATGGTGTAGTTAACATCAAAATGGTAGTATTTAGTTTTCAAAGTTTTTATGATCTTTCTGGTTACTAGGTTGGTACTGCAAGGAATATTTTATTTGTTGTTTGCTGTGTGCTGTGACCCATAGCTGACCTTCCAGCAAGTTTTCAAAGGCAGTAAATCACCTAAGAGGAGATTGCCCATCTTTCTCCCACAGAGCGGCTGATGGATTTGAACCTCATGCTTTGGTATTACAGCGTAGCTAGCTTCTTACCACTAGGCCTTCACTGATAATTTAATGGAACTGTGGCCCCTGACAGAGAAGATGGATTATTTATAAAATGAAAATATACAAAATAAACAATGAGTATAAAATTTCATTCTTCCTAGTAATTAAGAAATATATAAGATGAAAATGGTAATGAAACAACAATAAAACCCTCTGTACGATTGTAACAAAAAAGATAATGGTAATGATAAAGTTTTTAAAATAATAGTATGAAATTCTGGGAGTGACAGGGGGAAGTGAATTTTTCTCTATTGCTAATTCCTGCTGTCATCACGGCAATTCTGACTCCCTGACTCCTGGTAGCCTTCTGCTGCATGCTGAGACTGTACATTTTACAGGAGGAGACAGCCTAGCCTTCTCTTGTGGAGCCACTGATGGTTTTTTTTATTTTATTTTTTTTACGTGTACTGTCAAATCAGATCTGACTGATACAGGAGGAGATTGCCCCCTCCTTTTCCAGCAGAGCATCTGGTGGCTTTGAACCATGTATCTCTGGGATTGCCACTGATGGTTTTGAACTGCCAATGTGGCAGCCTAACAGTTATGTGCTATTCCAGGGCTTCTTACAGCTTATTGTACCATCACGTATTGAGCTTTACAAGTTTTTCAACTCATGGTCAATTTAGTTTCTTCACTTTTCCCCCCATATCTTCCTTTATTAAAGGCTAATCCTGGATGATGTAATTTAGACTAAATATTTCAGTATGTTTTTCTGAAAAATAGTGTCTAAAAACAGCATTACCATTGTTATTGTTATGTGCCGTTAAGTCACCTGTGACTCACAGCAACCCAATGTACAACAGCCCTAAACCCTGCTCTGTCCT